TATCTCTGACAGACCACCTTTTACTGTTTGACACATAGATTTGTGCCTCTTCCCTATTCTTGTAGCGGCATTTCTTGTATTGAAGAATTAGGAGCTGCTGCTATAAAATGTTGTGATGCATGTCTTTCCACTGAGAGTAACCTTCTGGTTGGGGCTTCAGGAGCCATTCAGAGATGATGGCAAGGAATTAGGCTTTAGGATGGGAGACAATGAAATAGGGGCCTTCATCTGCTCTGCTGTATAAGGCTAGAGGTGATGAGTTGGCTGCCAGTCCCAATCTGATTATCTGTAGCTAAATAAGTAGGGAAAGAAAAATTCTGGAAAGTGAGAAAGAAAAATGGCATTTCATCACCTCCTCTGAAAGCACTATAGTGTGGGGGAGTTTTGAAATCTGGAGTGAACTGGTATAGCTCAGTGAGTTGGAGTACCTGGCAGCAGAGCCAAGGATGAAGATTGTGGCACCTAGGAGAGGATCCAGTCAAGATCACCCATAAATGGCTGATAGGGTTACTTATCCTGCTACCTGTACAGCCAGAAGATTACCACCAGAACTTTACACCTAGAAAAGCCTGAAGAAAATGCCATAAATCTGAACTGACTTGATGGTACAAAATTTATTTACCCTGTAGGTATGGCTTTCTTCAAACCTTAATGTCCCCTCTAGGTAATGGTGCTGGAGAGACAAGTGGAGTACGTGATCATCCTGCTTTGTCTTCTCTGCTTTTATTCCCCGGTCATCTGTTGCACACTTTTGAATTTTTGATACAATTATTTTTTGCTATATACAGTAGAAGTACAGTGATCTACAGAGGAGAATAAATTTAACTTCCCCAGAGTCCACCCTTTCCTTATTAACTGGCACTTCAAATTTCAATAACTCACTCTGAGACATTTGTAGGAGAAAGAATAAAACATTTCTTTACTTACAGTTGTTTGAAATTAGACTTGTGTATACTTTTTTTTTACTGCACACAGACTAGCAATCAACAAAACAGAGCAACAGAAATAAACTACTGCCAGCAACCAATGAAAGAGAGATATAGAACACTCAGCAGAGAGGCAGGACTCTCTTTGAATTCCCCCAGAAAAGTCTCTCCCAATCACTCAAACTATAGACAGCATGCGAGGTTGTAACTAAAATTTCAACAATTTTCAATTCATCTTAGATACTCACTTGTCCTTATCTGGATAATTCCTGCTTCATTGCTATTTCAGTCCCTTAGTTTACATCCTTTAATATCCTTTACATCTCGTAATATTTTTCAACATCTATGAAATTTCCAAAAGTATGTAGAACTCACTCTCATTTTTGGAGGGTCACCATTTTGCTTCCAAACTGATGGAAACTTGATTAATTTATTTATCTGCTAGAGAAGATTTTTATTAAATGAAATATATTTGTATATGCTGCTTTTTCCCTGGGACTCAAGGTGGCTTATAATGCAACTGAAAAAAATTACAAAATGAAATGCAATAAAGCAACAAATATTAGAATGGAATTACATTCTTTATGTTATTAAAAGACAGTTAAAATTAAAATGCTTTTAAATCTCTCAACTAAAAGAGTAATACTAATTTGCCTTACAGAGAAAAACAGCAAGTTTGGTAAAAGCTTGTGGTCTGAGGTTCTCAATTGCCAAAGGCCTGCCTGAATAAAAAGGTCTTTGCCTGAAGATGGAAGGCCAGCAGGGAGATGGCAAACCTAGTCTCTCTTGGCAAGGTGTTCCAGAGCCTGGGAACTGAAATGATGTACTTCTATTGTATTTTGAGGGTTAACAGAAAGAAAAACCTCCCAAGGTGCTGCTGATTGCCTACAGGGCTTCTTCTGTGAATCAAACTAAACACCCTTCAAGAAAGAGGAGGGAGATCTGGTCTACTAAGGAACCAGAATGATGTAACAGAACCTGCTAATAAAGAGAACACAACTGAGTATATATTGGTATTTGCATAACCTTCTACAGCAAATTGTGGAAGATTGATGAGATGCTGGAGCATGTTTCAGTCCCATGGATAGGCATGCACCTTGTTGTGCAACTGAGATGTACCCTAGCATCTCACCAATTAGCAACATTTAGCTGTGGCAAGGTCCTTATGTGGTAAAAGAATGGGGGTGGGGGCTGAAAATAGAGCTAGCCCTGTCACACACCACTAGTATGTGTTGGCAATGCCTGCTATTCAGGCAGGCCTTTGGCATTTATATATATAGCACACATTGCCAGCACATACTAATGGTGAGTGACAGGGCTAGCTCTATTCTCAGACCCCACCCCCATTCTTTTACCACATGAATATATAAAAAAGTGGTCACAACATTTTTTTTTCAGTTTTTAGTTTGGCAATGCCTGCTATTCAGGCAGGCCTTTGGCATTTACATACATACATACATACATACATACATACATACATACATACATACATACATACATACATACATACATACATACATACATACATACATACATACATACATACATACATACATACATACATGTGCCAAAGGCCTGCCTCAATAGCAGGCATTGCCAACACATACTAGTGGTGTGTGACAGGGCTAGCTCTATTTTCAGCCCCCACCCCCATTCTTTTACCACATAAAGACCAGAGTTTGCAATTTACGAGTTACAAGTAATACGCTCACTTATAACAAGATTCCTGAGGTGAAATGAGATTTCAATTCTGGAAGGAATATAATGCCCAGAATCCTATTTGTGATGCATATGGTTTGCTTACCTTGCCACAGCTAAATGTTGCTAATTGGTGAGATGCTAGGGTACATCTCAGTTGCACAACAAGGTGCATGCCTATCCATGGGACTGAAACATGCTCCAGCATCTCATCAATCTGCCACAATTAGCTGTAGAAGGTTATGCTAATACCAATAGAATTTTGGCTAAGCGTTCTTTTTAAAGGGCATTTAAGACACTTTTAGAAACATTTATTTATTTATTTATTAAATTTATACCCCGCCCCATTTTGGCAGGATTAAAAAAAAAATTATGCCATTCTCTTTTGAACCTAAGTTTGTTTTGCCTATCCAAAAAGGAACAAAACGTAATGAGAAAATTATTAGAGAAAATTATTTTTAAAATGTGATTTTATGGATTATGGTCTGACTCTCCTTCTACTCTGAGAAAGCTCCTCTCAGAAGTTAACTCCTGTGCGGTATTATAACAGTATAGTCCTAACTGTATTTACTTGGAAATAGATCCCACTGAGTTCAATGAGATTTACTTTCTGATGTGTTTAGGATTGGAGTCTATGAATCATTCCACTTGAAATTCAGCTGTTCTCCTTAATAATCCATTTAGAACCAGATGAATCACCTCTGAACTCTCCTTGTGTTTTTACAATTTGCATTTTGAAGAATGTCTGTTCAATTGCTGAGCAAACAAGGACAGCATAAAGAATCAACTGGAATGCGGATTTCCACATCTGGAAACAGAATGTGATTAAGGTGGTTTTTAAATATGTTTATGTTTTCAAGGGTTTTATGTTATGCATATTATGTCTTCCAGACGGTATGTTGAACTCCAAATTTCTAGGTAGCAGAAGGAGAAAAATGAAAAGGGAAAATAAAAGATTGACAGACAAAAATAGCCAGGTTTAAATAATATCTGAAAATAAGTAACTGAAGTGTTATCAGAGTAGCCACATGAAAAGGTAGCCAAAGCTTTTAGGCCTTTAATAGTGGTATACAAGAGGGAGTTCCAGCTTCTATGACATTCCCCCTTCTACAGAATTATTAAACATACAGAAACCCTATTGTTGTTTTCATATGGCCACCCCAGATGCTATCTTTCTTTTTAAAATTAGCAGAATAAATATTTTACTTCATTTTTTAAAGCTCCAAGGTAGATGATCAATCCCAATATGATAATAAATATTGACATCAATAAACCAGAAATAATAGTAAAATAAATACTAATAGATATGAGGAGACTATGTTCTCTGTTTATGACATTTTTTGGTCACCCTAGGCAATTTATTATACATATAAACAAATAAAATGCAAAATAAAATCAAACACCTGAATGAAGCAAGCTAAATCCAGAAGAAAGGATAGGGGGTAAAGATCCGAAATATATTACAGATATATAAGTGAACAGCGTAGGTATCAGGCAGGTCCCTTCATGGAGGCGGAGGGATTTAAGTAAGAACAGTAATGAAACGGCGTGTGGCAGCTTGCTTTTCTGCTTCCCCCAATGTGTGCATTTCCTTTAGTGTCTGAAATCCTGTTCCACAATTACACAAATGGCAGCACTTTTGGATGTAAATTGCCACGAGTTAAGAAATCTCCATAGGCTTTACATATTATGTTATGTAACATGTAACAGATAAAGATAAACATGTAACATTATCATGTAAAAATGTCTTAGGCAATTTCTTAAGTGATAGGAGTTCATATCCATAACCTGCATCATTTGTGTAACTGAACAATAGCCAGTGTCTTTCACAAAGGTGAAGCTATATGCACATCATACAATATACAGTAGCATTCCCAATCAATCTTTCATTCTCAGAGCCTGGAAAATTTTTCTGAACAATTTCCCACAGCCAGCAATAGCATATCTCATCCTTGTCAAGTCAGTTGCAACCTGAAAAAAAAAATCTGAGGATAAGCACTGTTAGAACAGAAGAGAGTTAACTTTTATGTACTTTAAAGCCTGAGCATCCATCTTCACACATTCCCACCCAGCACCATGGCTCACTGGCCTTTTTTCTGCATGCTGTGGTTGTGCCCTGACAGCCTGCCTGGCTTGCGGTGGGGGGGAGTAAGGGGAGGAGCTCCCTATGGGTCATGGGCCCTCCATAAGTCCCTTTAACAGGGATATGGTATGTACATAAGGTCACATAGGTTATATTGTATATTTTAACAGTAGTTGTGAGGCATTTTGCCTAGTTCCCAACTCCCCTGCCTATTATTCTCAAAATGGTTACCTGGGCTTTGTTCAGGTTCTAGGTCTATTTACCTGGGCTGCTGGACTGCTTCCATAGTTAGTTGGCCAAAAGATTGTTGTGGATTCCCTCAGAACTTCTGTCTGCCCTATCCCATGGCATCTCGAGTACCCAGTTTTGGGAAATCGCCAGGATCATCCCTCAGATCTCACTTTTTGGCCCTGAAACCTCAGAGAATGGAATGCTGCTGATCTGGAAATGATATTCCCCTAAAATAAAATAAAATAATAAGATAAAATAAAATATAGTGGAAAAGAGTGCAATCCTCACTTTCACATTTCTTGCTCAGTGAAGCCTGGGAAAGATCAAATGGAGCTGAAAAGTTACAGAGTGCCTTGAAACAACTTTTGGTAGCATCACTTACAATCTCAAGTGGAGTGTTGCATAACAAACATCCTTCTGATTCATCAGCTGTTAAGTTCAGAATTGGTTCAAGCCTCTTCTTCTCAATCTGGTGTGAAAACTCTGGCCCGGGAGGATAAGAAATAGCCTGGCAGACAAAGCTTAACATTGTTGGGGTTTTCCCTCGTTCTTGGTGGAAACAAAATATACATACCAAACATTCCTGTTGACATTTCTCCAGTTGCCATCTCACTTGCAAAATGCTGAACTGGAACTTGTCTTGTCCTAAATATTTATTTCCTACATAGATGCTGTTCATCATGATTTCAGCTGAATGCAAAACATTTCCAGCAAAAATCTTGAACTTTGTACATTTTTTTTCCCTGCATCTGCTTGACTCAGCTTAAACTCTTCCTAAAGTGGGAGCATTCAAAGGTCTTGGCCAATTGTGCTCACATGATGGTCCATCTGTCCTACCTGTGCGTTAATGATAACCTTTGGATCCTTTTTGTAAACTTTTCTTCCCACAAATAAGAGGCGGCGGTGTAGGAAAAGCTTATTCCCATCATTATTTCATATGTTTTTGGTTCTTCAAAAATAAAGTTTATATAATGGAAATACAATATAATTAGACACATGGGAGTTCTGGTTTGGAAGTGGTTCAGCCGAATTCTATGATAAAACAAGTCCCTGACCACAAAAAGCTATGTATGGTGATTTGACAGTCTAAAGTATACAATCACTTATGCTAAATGAAAAGCAATGTCACCATGTTAAAAGCTGTATACTGAAAGCCCTTATGTTATTTGCTGGCTAACAAGCCCAAAAGCTGTAAATCTAACCCAAAGTCAGTGTTAAATAAACTTTGAATAGACATTTCCAAAAGGTGCCTGGGGTGGTCATGTTTATAAAGCAACAGGTCTGCAAAGGAATGGATTTTAATGGATTATTTGAGAATGGCCTCTTTTCTGCTCTGCTGTGTTGCAAGCAGACTGCATGCTATTCGCATCCTTTTTACATGCATCACTTTCTGAACTTGTTTGTAGAAAGACCACATCTGTAAAGGCTGCTATGTATGTTTAAAAGAAGTGCCTTATTACACTGAAACATAGGGACCCAACAAACTAAAATCATAGAACTCATTAGTGGGCTTTTCTATCACTTCTGTCCTCAGCATATCCAACTGAATTAAGCTTAGTGGCAAACTATACAATTACAAATTTGCTCCCACTTTTCCAAAAAAGAGGGGAAAAAGCATATCCTTGGTTACTGTGAACTGGCATCATTTTTTTTCAGTGGAACTCCTCATCTTTAGCTCTGTACTCCGAATTAAAAAGCCCTATCAAACCAGAAAGTAACCCTCCTGTCAAATGCATCTTGAAATGGTGAATTCAGTGTGATCAATATACTTTTGGAGCATCAGGAATGTCCCCTCCCCTCCCCATTACTTTGTAAAGACAGAAGCCTTCCTGCCCAGTGTGTTACTTTCTACCAGGGAACAGGAAGATATACAATTCTGGGAAATGCATGAACCACCCTAAGTGTATGTGTTCCAATTTTATTGTATAATTTTCTTGACTTAATATTTGTTCTAAATGTCTCACTGGTTAACACCAAAATTGCTTCACAGAGAGTGAATAATGCTGTTCATGATGTTCTAAGTTAGGAAAGGTCATATCATGTAAGTTTAGGAGCCAGGTAAAAACCCCATGTAATGCTAAGAAGTAGCCTTTGGTATAAATGAGACAAGCAAATAGCTTTAGAACTGTTGACAGCTGACTCTTAAATATTCTGAGAAGATGGTCTATGGATAAGAAAAGAAGAGGGTAGCTCACCCCATAATTTCAGTGTGGCTGGTGCAGTCATAAGCCTCCTGGGGCTTTGAGAACACCATTTTAGAAAAGGGAAAAGGTTGTGAAACCTTAAAAGCTAACATCTTTTATTGGGCAAAATGTTCATGGTCTGCAGCCCACTTCATCATATGCAAGGAAAGATTATAATATACATGTTTGGGAGGGCAAATGAGTGGGGGATATTGATCAGTGAGGAGAAAGGAAACTGTAATGGAAAAAATGCAGACAGAAGTCCAAATTAAGTAGTGTGAGAAGACATCAACATATCTCCCCCACCCTGGCCGCCCTGGACTGGTTATCCGTTCATTTCTATGCCAGCTTCAAGATAATGGTGTTAACATACAAAGCCCTAAATGGTTTGGGACCTCATTATCTGGCAGAACACCTCCTTCCAACCAGATCTGCCCATCTTGTAAGATCTTCCCAGACAGGGCGGTTGAGAGTTTTTACCCTGAGAGAGGCTCGGAAAACAGTGACCAGAAACCGGGCCTCCTCGGCAGTAACCCCAGAATTGTGGAATGCTCTACTGCCCGAAACCGCCTGGTGCCTTTACTGGAATTTTAAGCAATTACTAAAAACATTTTTTTTCAGACTGGCCTTCCCGGACTCTATTATACATTGATACAACAGGGTTTAAATAACCAGATATCTGCTAATGTTCAATCCCCACCATGCTTTTCATATTTCATTTTAATGTCTTTCTGATATTATTTTCATTTGTTCATATTGTACTATTTATATTATTGTCCTGTTATTGTATTGTTTTGTCTTTATCTTTTGCTTTTATTGTACTGTGTAAACCACCCAGAGTAATCTGGGTTCCCACATGGGTGGTATAGAAATTAAATAAATAAAATAAATAAAATAAATAAATAGTCATTACCTAGATAGTGTCCATTAACAAACAGTATTGGGTGGTGATACATTCATGCCCTGATGATCGGATTAGTGTGACAATAAGCTTTGGTCTTTTCTTAAACCATAGAGTAGAACTTCTGAATGAATTCTTCTTTTGTTCAGTAACAGCTAGCTAGAAGTCAGAGACAGTGTTGCCTGGGAAAATGAAGAGTTACCAACTACTTATCTATTGATCTGCCTATTGATCTGTCTATTGTATTTTTAAACCACCCACTAACTAAAGTTCTCTAGGAGGTGTGCATTCTGTTTAAAATATAGTATAACAAAACAATGACGGATGGAACAGAGTATAAAACCAGCTGCAGAGAACAAAGTATTTCATTATGTAAAGTCAGGCTGAAAATATTAGCATGGTTAAAACCAAAGAGGTGTAGAAGTAACATAGTTAAGAAAACGTATTATTTTTGTAATGACCAGCACACAGCTACTAGTCTTCTATCTACAATGAAAATTTTAGACAAGTGTTAAACATCACTATGCCAGAACTGCAGTACAGTTGTATATGATCTTCTTTCATTTCTTTTTGTCATTTAAGGCTATTTTAATGTTTTATTTTCTTGATGAGCTTGACAGAAACAATATCTGCCATCTTTATTCCAATTATAACCATCATTTTGTTTCAGGGAACTGGGGAAGATTCTGTATCATTTTTTTTTTTTTTGGAATATTTATTTAAGGACAGGGTAGGGTATACAAAAAGTAAGGGGGAATAGGGAAAAGGGAAAAAGGGTTAGGGGGATAGGAGAACACAAAGTATACAATCATCCAATCAATTCATATTACAATAACAAATCAACTTTTTGCTTTTTCACAATTTGATTACCCCCCTGCTTTCATTTTATAATTTAATTTTAGTTTAATTCTATGTTACTCCAACACTATCTGGTAACTGCAGCCATTTATACAATACATCCCATCGTTCAGTTTTCTTTTGAATTGAACATTTTTTCAGCCCAATCTGACAGGATATCCATTTTTGTCACTTCCCATATTTTCCCAATAAGTTTCTCTTGTTTCAGTATCTCTGCTTTCTTGAGATTTTTAACATAATGCTTTTCCATTTTGGAAGCTGCATAGGTCACTGGATGGCTCTTTATCCCATCTATGTTACCTGGTATCGTGCCCAATAAAGTCGGTTCTGAAGTTTGTGCAACTTCATTTAACTGTTGTTTGGCATCTAATGTTCCCTCTTTCATCACTTTCATCAGATTTCTATTTTGCTAAGACCTTCATTCACTTGCTGAAACCCTGTTATTATTGTCTTTTGCATAGTAACCTGCCATTCCTTTTCTATTTCTTGTACAACTATTCTAAAACTT